GTGTGTGTGTGTGTGTGTGTGTGTGTGTGTTTATTACACACAGATATAATGGTATGTAAGAAATATGGAGAAAAATCACTATTTAAAACACATGAAATTTCACAACATAAAGAAGTTTAATGAGCTTCATAGAAAATCATGCGATTCAGTTTTTACACTTTTTCTCATCCATTCTTTATGCCATATGGGCTTTGTGAGTTCCTAGTAGTAAGTAATGATAAATGCTGATGGTAGACTTAAGAACTGAAGGAGAAACTGTTATTTAATAAACGTTATTGAAATGGGATGCAACTATTCAGATCCTTTTGTGCCAACTTGTGGTAGAGACTTAGAAGCAACATGCCTCACATCTCCTAGAAGAGTGTTGTCTATTTTGGTGAGCCATTGGTACATGATTGAAGCCAAGCAGCTGGCTTTGAACATATTCACAAGATCTCATAGGCCCTAGGTACTTAAATAAGTCTTTCATCTGGCCCACATTTCTGAAGAAGAAATCAAGGCAGTTAAAAACCATTAAATGGTTGGTCCAAGATCAAAAGAGGAATGATACCAGGAATGGCCCAGACACCAGACTGTATCATACGCCGCAACACTGAGATTTACTGCTTCCTTCTCTGAATGATAGCAAAATATCATCTAGCCAGGATAAAAGTGATATAATTTGTAAAACAAAGCAAAAGGATGAATTAATATTTTGAAACAGTAACATATCAGCTTATGTTGTTTTACATGGAAAGAATGCTGTTTTTTTTTTTATCCTGAGGAGATTTCAAATCATCTAATAAAACCTTCACTAAACACTTGCATGTGCTGGTGTTTACCTGATTTGTTTTCCAAAAACATATCAATATAAACAGTTATTTTAGAAAAGTTTAGAGCTATCGTAGAACGATAAAGGAAATGATTTATGTTTGTAGTCAATTCAAATCAAGTAAAATAGAGAAAAAGTGTCCCCTTTAGAAGGCTTGGTGACAAGTTGGAAGCCATACTTGATATTCTCTGTGCTTTCCTGTCACATTAAGAGAACTGGTACAGGCTTGGCTTGGGCTTAATTAGCAGTGTCAGTGACCCAAGACAGCACACTGGCCCCAAGGACGTTCTGTATGAAGTCAGGGATGCAGCCTTGACAAACAACTTTCATTGCTGACTACTATTTGAAACCCTTCCAGTTTCACAGAATTGAAATATCTTCTGGAGTTTGTCAGTGTCCTGAGTCCACATTGTTTTGATGTTTCATATCAGCAACATAAATAACACACGACAAATAGCAGTCAATGCTGCTACTACAGCAAGAGTTTACATGTCTTTTAGCCTATGTGACATTCACATGTATTTGGATCAGGGCAAATAAAATACTGTTTTCCAAACCAGAAACAGGATATGCCTTTGAAAATTAAAACTTATAAAGTCTACCTCAGTTATTCACGGCTTAAAAACTGTTGGGTTATCGGAAAAGTCATGACGTATTTTTTCTGTTTTTCGTTGCAAAAATGCGTCATGACTTTTCCTACAACCCAGTAGATTTGGTATACTAGTTGTTATAACTTCTGCTTTACACCTATAACTTCAGGAGAAAAAAAGGCATGATGCCAAAAGGATAAGAACTCAGTTAGAATGCTATTTCCAAATGGTTGTTTATGTAGGTACAGTTTTGGTGATGGTGAAGGCTTATAATTCTATTTTGAAACACAGGTGGTTGGTTTCTCTAGTATCCAGAATGCATGCTTTTCTTTGGATGTAGCTATAATTGCATGTGCAAAAATATTAAGTATTATTTTGTTATTAAAATAGATCTGAGCTGAATGAAAAAAAAAGGTACATCTAGGTGGACTTCTGTGCTTTAATTTGACCTAAAACATAGGTCTTTTTTTGGAGATTTAAGAAGAAATTTTGAAGTTTAGGAATATTAATAGCCACACTCTCCTATAGAAATTCATAATATGAGTCATGTTTGAAATTGTAAACTCTCTAGAAGCCACATTAAAAAGTAAAATGGGACAGAATTAATTTTAGTAATAAATTTTAACCCAATAGGTCCAAAATATTATTGTCTCAACACCTAATAAATATAAAAATGATCATTAATAGGATGCTTACAGTTTTGTTTTGTTTTTTACATTCTAAGTCTTTGAAATTCAATATTCATTTTGAACTGGACTAGCCACATTCCAAGTGCTCAATAGTCACATGGAACTAATGGCTGTCATACTAGACAGCAAAGAATGATACAACAGCGATTATTATTTTACTGATTCATTTTTATAATAAAATATATTCTCCATGTTTTATTTTCATTATACATGAATATATATGAGATTATAGATAGATAGATAGATAGATAGATAGATAGGTAGATAGATAGATAGGTATAGAGATAGAGATAGAGAGATAGAGAGATAGAAGATAGATAGATAGATAGATAGATGTTCTACAAAATGTCATTAGCCTAAACTTACAAATACTGCTTTGATTTTGTTAATTGCTCTAGTGTAGTGTTACTTTCTTTCATTATTGCCCACAATGGAGTCATGGCAGACATCTTTTTTCTGATCATGCCGCTCTATGAAATTGTAATACCACACATATACCAGATACTGGTGTATTTTTGTAGGGCCACAGACTGTTGTAATGTCTAAGAATTTTTACCCCAGAAGAACTCATTTTTGTCCCCTTGGGTGTGAAATCCTGCCCCATTGAGAATGGTTGTTAGAGTGCCTTCTCTCAATTCCACAACAGTGAAATAAATTGGTTAACTCTACTCACTTAAGTTAGTTACCCCAAACAAGAAAGATAGTTGATCATTCCCACATCATTTTCTACTTTATGTAGATAGTCCAGCTTCAAAGTATTATTT